TATACAACAACCTGTAAGAGCACCCACTTCGTTATTCAACTGTTTCGTTTTTTTTTTAGTTTATTTATTTTGGTATAGCCCTGTGAGCCATTCGGCTCTTGAATCGGATGCAACCACAACAAACAAAAAAACAAAAACACGAACAAGAAAAACATCTTCAAGTGACTATGTGTGACTGTGAAAACAGAAAAGTGACTAAAAAACAGCAAAATATTCCAGAAAAAAGCACCGTACACCAACGCTGTGTGCAAAAAATCCCAGTGGGATGCAAGTCAAACAACAACAACCACAAGAAAACTTAGATTAAGGCCATCAGTCTAACTCCGTACTACAACAAAACAAACATGTCCAAATCAAAAAACTTTTCGAAATCACCAAAAAATAAAGCCATAATTGCAACGTAACAGTGATCACAGGGACTGTGACCGAATTTGTACAATAAACTACATAAATAACATGTAACACCATTGCTAGTGGACTAAAGCTAATTTCAAGGTCGGCCTTCAGTTTCTCAAGACCCCACTGCTGTCCTATGCTGTCGGGAAAGGATTAAATGATAAATTGGAATTTGGCTTCGGCAACACAGGGTCAGCTGCAACCACCGTACTTGGAAAGGTTGAATTGGAAATCTGAATTGATAATGAAAAGGGAATAAAGGTCACCGTCCTTGTCGTGCCAGACATTGTGGATCCATACTCTTTGGTTCTTTCGGTAAAGTCACGTAGGTAAAAAAATAAAAAATGAAAACAGCTCAATTTAGTTGATTTAAAGCTTTCATAACTGCAGTGATTCATATTATTGGTTCTTTCGGTAAAGTCACGTTGAAGGGAAACAAAATAATAATATATATAAAACAATAAAATTCTCACGACGTTTCGACTGCAACACAAGCAGTCATCAGGTGTGAAAACCAACGGCAAGAACATTTGAAAGTGGCGGTTTGTATTTATTTATTTGTTTTTTTACGTTAGCACCATGGATAGCGATTTGACAGTTTGTTTAGATGGACTAGTCCATCTATGTTCGGAAAAGAGGGTTGAGACGAAAAATTAATGTATGCTGTCTGAAAGCCACCGTAAGCGTGAACAATCAATTAAGACCCGAAATGGTTTATCAAATACTTCCAATGATTGCTAAGCCATAATCCATCTTCTCGGTTGAAATTGTCTCTGTGTTTGAAAATGTGGATAGCCTCATGAAGGAATCTCTCATGGTAGCCAGATGGCTTGCAAAGAACCTCTGTCTTGGAGAAGTCAATGTCATGTGAGCCTACTGAATTATAACAATGATCTGCCACGGTCGAGGTGTTGGTCCTACCGTGTTTAAGGTCTGCTTTGTGTTCATGAATGCGGTCCGAGACATGTCGTTTGGTTTCTCCAATGTAACTACTACCACAGAGGCAACTTAGTTTGTAGACACCAGGGTAATGTATGTCCAGAATCACATCTTTTACAGACGGAACGAGATCACGGATTTTATGTAATGTGTTGAAACGGACCTTGATCTTTCTTGTGTTTATTCAAGATTTTGGAGATCTTTTTTGTGATCCCCGCAATGTAGGGTAAAGTGGTTTTGAAAGGCTCCTCAAGAGGGTCCTTCTTCTTGGTTTGAATGATAGCTTTGCGGATTGTATAGTCGGAGTAACCATTAGCCTTAAGAGCTTGGTGTACGTGCTTGAGTTCACTGCCTATGCTTGGATATGCATTGGGCTCTATGGTGCAGAGTCTTGATGAGAGAATTCTTCTGTGATGGATGGTGGTGGGAACTCGGTTTCAGATAAGCATCCGTATGGGTAGCTTTCCTGTAGACAGAGTGGCTCATTGAACCATCAGGTCTCTTTTTTATTAGGACATCCAAAAAAGGTAGCTTGCCATCTTTTTCGACTTCCATGGTAAATCTGATGGCTGGGTGTATGGAATTGATGTGGTCGAAGAATTGGTCTAGAGCAGGCCGGCCATGTGGCCAGATGACAAAAGTGTCATCCACGTATCTCTTCCATAAGGTTGGGCGCAGAGTGGCAGTCTGGATGGCGTCAGTCTCAAATTTCTCCATGAAAATGTCGGCTATAATCGGAGATAGGGGGGAGCCCAGTGGGGTGCCCTCAGTTTGTTTGTAGAAAGTTCCATTCCGAGTGAAGTATGTATTGGTTAAGCATTGTCTCACCAGGGGGGTACCTCAGTGTTTAGTCCTTGATGAACCAAGTCTTCAATGATTGTGATGGTGTCAGGTAAAGGAACTTTGGTGAATAAGGAAACTACATCAGAACTGACAAGCAGGTCGTCTGGGGACAGGGAAAACCCCTTTATTGTCGATACCAGGTGAGTAGAATTTTGTACGACAGAGGTGGTTTTTCCAGTGAAAGGCCGCAGGATTTCAGACAGAAAACGAGCCAGTTTGTAGGTGGGGGAGTTGATAGTAGAGACGATGGGATGAAGGGGTGTATCTACTTTATGTATTTTTGGTAAGCCGTATAATCTTGGTGGCCTGGCAGCAGAAGGTTTCAACGAAAACTGTTTAGTTTGATCAATTAATGCGGTTGAATCAGAAATTATTTTGTTGGTTTGTGTGACGAGGCTGTTGGTGGGATCTCTTTTTATTTTGGTATAGCTGCCATCGTTGAGTAATTCTTTAATTTTGTTGTTATATTCTATTTTATCCATGATGACAGTAGCATTGCCCTTGTCGGCTGAGAGGATTTCAATATCATCCCTCTTTTTTAATTTATATAATCCAAAACGCTCATCTTTGCTGAGGTTGCTAGCTGGCATCTTAGCGTTTTGAGGGTTGCAGCGATTTCAGATCTTGTTACGTCTCCAGCGATGTGACCCAGGCCCTTGAGAGCCACGTCTACTTGGGCAATGATATCATTAACTGGTATGTGTTTAGGTGTGACTGCAAAGTTTAGACCTTTAGCTAAAACGAATTTCAGACTATCGGAAATAGAACTGTTACTGCGATTAATTACGACTTTGTTAACGTCTAGCTTTTTGGTGTGTGGGTCCGGTCTTTCGTTGGAGAGGAGGTTAAATTTGGAAATCAGGTTGTCCTTACATTTGGTCGACATAGTAGTAGGCTCCCCGCTATCTCCGGTTATAGCCAACATTTTCATTGAGAAATTTGAGACTGACGCCATCCAGACTGCCCTCTGCGCCTAACCTTATGGAAGAGATACGTGGATGACACTTGTCATCTGACCACATGGCCGGCCTGCTCTAGACCAATTCTTCGACCACATCAATTCCATACACCCAGCCATCAGATTTACCACGAAAGTCGAAAAAGATGGCAAGCTACTTTTTTTCGATGTCCTAATAAAAAAGAAACCTGATGGTTCAATGAGCCACTCTGTCTACAGGAAAGCTACCCATACGGATGCTTATCTGAAACCGGATTCCCACCACCATCCATCACAGAATAATTCTCTCATCAAGACTCGGCACCATAGAGCCCAATGCATATCCGACCAGGAACACATAGGCAGTGAACTCAAGCACGTACACCAAGCTCTTAAGGCTAATGGTTACTCCGACTATACAATTCGCAAAGCTATCACTCAAACCATGAAGGACCCTCTTGAGGAGCCTTTCAAAACCACTTTACCCTACATTGCGGGGATCACAAAAAAGATCTCCAAAATCTTGAATAAACACAAGAAAGATCCAGGTCCGTTTCAACACATTACATAAAATCCGTGATCTGGTTCCGTCTGTAAAAGATGTGATTCCGGACATACAGTACCCTGGTGTCTACAAACTAAGTTGCCTCTGTGGTAGTAGTTACATTGGAGAAACCAAACGACATGTCTCGGACCGCATTCGTGAACACAAAGCAAACCTTAAACACGGTAGGACCAACACCTCGGCCGTGGCAGATCACTGTTATAATTCAGTAGGCTCACATGACATTGACTTCTCCAAGACAGAGGTTCTTTGCAAGCCATCTGGCTACCATGAGAGATTCGTTCATGAGGCTATCCACATATACAAACACAGAAACAATTTCAACCGAGAAGATGGATTATGGCTTAGCAATCATTGGAAGTATTTGATAAACCATTTCGGGTCTTAATTGATTGTTCACGCTTACGGTGGCTTTCAGACAGCATACATTAATTTTTCGTCTCCCGCCTCTTCTTTTCCGAACATAGATGGACTCGTCCATCTAAACAAACTGTCAAATCGCTATCCGTGGCGTTAACGTTAAAACTAATTAAATAAATACAAACCGCCACTTCTTTCAAATGTTCTTGCCGTTGGTTTTCACGTCGTGAGAATTTTATTGTTTTATATATATTTTATTTTATTGCTTCTCTTCAACGTGACTTTACCGAAAAAACTAAGAATATGAATTGCTGCAGTCACGAAAGCTTTAAATCAAAATTTAAATTTAGTTGTTTTCATTTTTGTTTTATTTTCTTAAACTAAATTTAGTTGTTTTCATCTTTGTGAAATTTTATTTATTTATTTTTAAGCTACGTGACTTTACCGAAAGAACCAAAGAGTATGGATCCTTGCAGTCACAAAAGCTTCAAATCTAGAATTGTGGAACCAGCGATCATGCTGCTGGTTGGACGTACGTACCGAGCAGACCCACATTGGTTCTTTCGGTAAAGTCACGTAGAAAGAAAATAAATTAAATACTAGAATACGATGTTTCGATTGCAACACAAGCAACCGTCATCAGGTACAACTAAATTCGAGAGACAAAACTCAGACACGGAGACACACAGACAATCGAAACGTCGTATTCTATTATTTAATTGATTTTCTTTCTACGTGACTTTACCGAAAGAACCAAAGATTAATTCCTGCAGTCACGAACGCTTCAAATAAAGTTTAAATTAAGTCGTTAATAAAACCGTTGTTTTTTTTAAACCCCTTTTTCAAAGGAGTTTATTCTCTCGCAAATCGCCGCGGTCCCTCAGCCCCCACGGCCCCCCGCGGCTCCCCCCTCCACCCCCACACCCCAGCCCACCCCTGGCGGTGTCGTCACCGCCATTACCGCCGATCGTCATTTCCGCTGGTTAACCCGGAAGTGGAAACGGCGTGGAACACAAAGTGCTGTTTCATCGCTCTCACTTGCGCGCGTTTCGCTCGCTCGCACCAGACAGGAGAAGGAGAGACAGACCCGCACGCCCGCCCGCCCGCCCGCCAGCCAGCCACCGAGAGAAGCCAGTGAACGTGTATACAGTTGAGGGACGCAAGGCGGTGGAGGCTCAACCAGCAGGAGAGGGGTGAGGAGCAGCGCACGTGTCTGCCCGTCGTGTCCACGTCTCTCTCTCTCTCACTCCCCCCCGTGTCCTCTCGCTCTCCCCGTGTCGCGCGATGTCGTCTTCCTCGGGCGCGCTCTTCCCGAGCGCCGTCGCCTCGAGTCGCGGCGCCGCCTCCAAGTACCTGGTGGAGTTCCGCGCGGGCAAGATGAGCTTGCGTGGCGGCACGGTGACTCCCGACTCGCGCAAGGGTCTCGTGTTCGTTCACCAGAGCGAGGACGCGCTGCTGCACCTCTGCTGGCGAGACCGCACCACGGGCCAGCTGGAGGAGGCGAGGCCGCATTCCTCTCACACGGCACAGACGCGCACCTATGGACGCACGCACGTCGACACAGCACAAATAGCCAGTCACAGACACGGCACCGTAGCGACACGGAGGGCACAGCTCCGTAGCCAGACAAGACATATGTAGACACAGCGCCATAGCCAGACACACATAGACACAGCACCGTAGCCACACAGAGATACGGCTCCATTGCCACACAAAGACACCAACTCCATAGCCACACACAGACACCTGTAGACACAGCACCATATCCACAAACAGACACCTCTTGACACGTAGACACAGCACCGTAGACACGCACATACACTGGCTCCATAGCCACAGACACACCTATAGACACAAAACCATAGCCACACACATAGACACACCTATAGACACACGTTAGACACAGCATCGTAGCCACACTCGTAGACACAGCATCGTAGGCACACTCGTAGACACACCACCATAGCCACACAACATCATAGACACGCGGCCATGAAAAGCACCATAGCTTCACATAACTTAGTTTGCCTTTAGGGGCGGTATTTGCTACTTAATAATTATGATGTACAGTATATTATTTTAGAAACTCGAGCGATTGAGTTACAGGAAATTCACAGTGTATGTGGCTTAATAATTGTTACATTATAGTAATATGTTTTTACCCTTTTAGCTGACACAAAAACTGACACCTTTATACAAGAGTTCATGTTTGCAATAACCACAACACAAGCAGTCAAAAATCCAAACAAAAAGAAACAACTCTGATATAGATATGCACTATCCTTGAATTTGATTGGTCCACACTCGAGACGGCTTTTCTTAGAGCCTAGTCTCCACCTAGTCTCCACTGGTGTTGGACCAGATGACACCATAAGGCGTACAACGCAAAAACAGCGCACTATCAGAGCATTGAGAGCTCGGGGTAAGCCTTTACATTATGAGACCTCCTTTGCCAGTAACAAGATATAGTAATAGGTTTTTACCCTTTTAGCTGGCAAAGGAGGTCTCATAATTTAAAGGCTTACCCTGAGCTCTCAATGCTCTGATAGTGCGCTGTTTTTGAGTTGTACGCCTTATGGTGTCACCTGGTCCAACACCAGTGGAGACTAGGCTCTAAGAAAAGCCGTCTCGGGTGTGGACCAATCAAATTCAAGGACAGTGCATATCTATATCAGAGTTGTTTCTTTTTGTTTGGATTTTTGACTGCTTGTGTTGTGGTTATTGCAAACATGATCCCTTGTATAAAGGTGTCAGTTTTTGTGCCAGCTAAAAGGGTAAAAACCTATTACTATATCTTGTTACTGGCAAAGGAGGTCTCACAATGTAATTGTTACATTGTTACCGCAGTTACATTCACTACACATCGCTTAAAAGAGACTCCTCTACGACAATATTAACTTAATGCAGTTGGTATTCACTCTGTCATGCTTACAAGCTCACGACCTCCTTCATACCAGGCGCGGTAATTAACATATCGCCACCCTGGGGTCCATTCGGGGTGGGAGGCGTGATGACCGCTGCTATGTGTAGTCCCAATTGAGTAATTTACAGGGCAATTTTCTAATTTGGCAGATATTGGACCATGACACTCACAAAATGGCTCGCTCGTTTCGAGCGTCGTCGGGAGATCTTTAACGTAAATTGCCAGCAAAGCAGACGGCGCGTAGTATTTAATGGTTAATACGCACACAGCAGTAATTCCCAGGGCGGCCTATTCGTTTGAATATGAGGACAATCTGCAATGGGCGTTGCGACCACACGCCAGCTTCGGGCCACGTGACCACCCGGCCTCCCTCGGCCGCAGACCGTTGGGCCTTTTGCTTTTTTTTTTGCTTATGGATCTAAGAAGCCCACGTCTCACATTAGCCGTGTCTACGCAGGATCTGATCATCTTCCCGGATGACTGCGAGTTCAAGCGCGTGCCGCAGTGCACCACGGGGCGCGTGTTTGTGCTCAAGTTCAAAGCCGGGTCCCGGCGACTCTTCTTCTGGATGCAGGTGAGAGACTCGCTCACGCCCTCGCCGCCACCTCGCCGCCACCATCACGGCACGCGGCAGCAGTCGCTCACATGCCACTGTCGCTCGCCACCACGCACCCGCCCGCCATCGACACCACGCACCGCTCGTCCTCGCCATCCCTCGCAACTCACCATCACCTCGCCACCATGTGCCCTCGCCATGCCTCACAACTCACCGTCGTTCATCCTCAAGACACCCCTCGCATCTCGCCCTCACCTCACCACTACTCTCTCCATCACCACCACACCCTCACCACCCCTCACAAGTCACCTCACCCTCGCTACCATTCATAACCCTCACCTTCTGCACAACTCGCCAAAAATCGCCCTCATCACAACTCATCACTACTCACCACTCCTCGACCACATCACCTCACTGCCTGTGACCTCCATGGTCTGTGATCTCCCCCCGTGCACTGATCACCCCCCACGTGCCCTGATCTCCCCCCACGTGCCCTCATCTCCCCCCGTGTGCTCTTTTGCAGGAGCCCAAGACGGACAAGGATGATGAGCTGTGCAAGAAGGTGAACGACCTGCTCAACAACCCTCCCGTGCCGGGCTCGGTTGGGAGCGGATCCTCCTCGCACGGCCTCTCCAGCGACCTGGCGGCCCTGGGCGGTACGGCCGGGGCAGGGGTTGCTCACCGCATCGCGGGGAAGGCGACAGGGAGGGCAGGGGGGAGGGGTCACCCTGTCCATAAATCACCATGCCACATGGCAGTGGCACTGGGAAAACCACCACAATGCACACTAAAGTTACTCCGTATAGGCTCAACAGACTGTTGGGGCAAGTGCTGTTAGCGAGCAGCACCTATGAAGGCCGGCACAGCACACGAGGGGGTGGGTGGCTACCACCATGCCCGATCACTTTTTTCTCCCGAGTGGCAATGTTTACACACCGCACCAGGCACTCATTTGAGGTAGAGTCGAGCTAGGGGAGGCCCAGGACCGGTTCAGATAATCGTCACTGGTGTTGGCCATGACCGGGAATTGAACTCGGGTCGCCGGGCTTGCAACGTGGCGCGGCCAACTACTGCGCCTCCATTCCCCACAGGGCACACCACACCACACGGGGGGGGGGGGGTGAGTCTAACACTCATACTGCACACCGCACCAGGGGATCGCCCACTCACACCGGGCCCGGCTAGGAAGCCTGCTTGCCTGCCGAGCCTATATCGATTCGCTCTTCCCCCGAGATGCGTTTATTTAGCGAATGCTTTTACACAGAGTACCAGATACACCAAAAAAAAATAATTAAATTGTTACTTTGTACGTCATTGCTATATGTGGGTGGACATCGGCCTACGTATCCACAGAGCCATGTGAACAGCCTCCTCCAGCACGTGCAGGGCGACTGCTCCGCCCGGCACACCCTATGATGCACGTCACAATTGGTGACGCAATTGATTTTTGTCAGTTCGAACTGCAAACCTCTGCAATAGGTGACAAACGCGCTACCGCTGGGCCACGTCACCGCCCCTACGAATGCGAAGAGCTGTGCGTGGTTGCTGCCTCCGTGTCGTTGCACGTGGTGGGACAGTGTTCCCAGGGCTCCTCCACAATGCTTCTCAGATTCCTCCACACGACGACTCCTCTCCTCCACACTACTCCTCTCCCCCACACTGCTTCTCCTCTCCTCCACAGTGCTCCTTCTCTCCTCCACACTGCTTCTCCTCTCCTCCACACTGCTTCTCCTCTCCTCCACAGTGCTCCTTCTCTCCTCCACAGTGCTCCCCCTCTCCTCCACACTCCTTCTCTTCTCCTCCACACTACTCCTCTCCTCCACACTGCTCCTTCTCTCCTCCACACTCCTTCTCTTCTCCTCCACACTCCTTCTCTTCTCCTCCACACTCCTTCTCTTCTCCTCCACACTACTCCTCTCCTCCACAGTGCTCCTTCTCTCCTCCACAGTGCTCCTCTCCTCCACACTCCTTCTCTTCTCCTCCACACTCCTCTTCTCCTCCACACTACTCCTCTCCCCCACACTGCTTCTCCTCTCCTCCACAGTGCTCCTTTCCTCCACACTGCTCCTCCTTTCCTCCACACTGCTTCTCCTCTCCCCCACACTGCTTCTCCTCTCCTCCACAGTGCTCCTTCTCTCCTCCACACTGCTTCTCCTCTCCTCCACAGTGCTCCTTCTCTCCTCCACAGTGCTCCTTCTCTCCTCCACACTGCTCCTTCTCTCCTCCACAGTGCTCCTTCTCTCCTCCACAGTGCTCCTCCTCTCCTCCACAGTGCTCCTTATTTCCTCCACAGTGCTCCTTCTCTCCTCCACAGTGCTCCTTCTCTCCTCCACAGTGCTCCTTCTCTCCTCCACAGTGCTCCTTCTCTCCTCCACAGTGCTCCTTCTCTCCTCCACACTGCTTCTCCTCTCCTCCACACTGCTCCTCTCCTCCACAGTGCTCCTCCTCTCCTCCACACTGCTCCTTCTCTCCTCCACAGTGCTCCTTCTCTCCTCCACAGTGCTCCTTCTCTCCTCCACAGTGCTCCTTCTCTCCACAGTGCTCCTTCTCTCCTCCACACTGCTTCTCCTCTCCTCCACACCGCTGCACCTCTACTCCGCACTCCTCCTCCAATCCTCCACACTACTCTTCCTTGCAAGGCGCCGCTGTGTGCGCACATTGTGCAGTTGTGCCCGCTTCTTGGCAGGTGAAGGAGGCCTGCAGAGCCTCCTGGGCAACATGGACCAGCAGCAGCTGATGCAGCTCATGGGCGCCAGCGGTCTTGGCGGGCTCGGTGAGACCTTCGACCTCCTGCTCACTCGCTCTCCCCTCTCACTGCCCCCCCCCCTCGCTCCTCCCTCTCACCCTCCCTCTCACTCCCTTCTCCCCCCTCGTGTGGGTTTTCTCCGGGCTCCCCAGTGTACTCTCTCATGCGTCCTCTATAAGTGCGCCACAGTGGCGAGATGTTAACTACCTCACATGGTATGCAGGAGGTCATGGGTTCAATCCTGACCCTGATGCCTGCTGTATACAGTGAAACCTTGGATTGCGAGTAACTTGGTCTGCGAGTGTTTTGCAAGACGAGCAAAATTTATAAATAAATAATAATTTGATAAACGAGCGATGTCTTGCAATACGAGCAGTACGTACAGTACAGGCTTTGTCTGCCGAGCGTCACGTGATCACAACTGAGCCAATGGTTCTTCTCTCTCTCTCGCTGCGGGATTGTGGGTAATTATCTCCCATGCTCAGTCTCAGTCGGCGTGCCTCACTCGTATAGTCAACATCCGTGCGAGCGTATACTGTTTACTACAGTACTATAGTGTTGTGACCACGTGTGTGTGCGTAAAGCATTTTTTTTATTTTGTGTCCAAGTGTAGTGACTGTTCTTTAGTAACTGTACTGCAAGTGAAAGTCGTCCGACACAATAACCCTTCTCCTCCTCTCCTCTCTCATCTCCCTCACACCAGCCACGATTAAATGTAATTAATCAATTTGACTACTTCATATTAAATTAAAATAATAAAAATGTAAAAAGGTATTTTGTATTAATAATTTTTATATGAATACAGTATTTTTGGGTTGTGGAACGAATCATCTGAGTTTCCATTATTTCTTATGGGGAAATCCGCTTTGATATACGAGTGCTTTGGATTACGAGCACGTTTCCGGAAGGAATTACGCTCGCAATCCAAGGTTTCACTGTATTTTGAGTTTGCATATCTCTCACCGTGGTTGCATGGATTTTTCTCCAGGTCCTCCGGTTTTACCCTCCACATTTATAATCAACATCACGAGTTCAGAGTATTTGGCCGCTATAAATGTCCACATGATAAGCCACTTCGTTGAACTATCATTTGTGGCCAAGTCGCTTCTGAAAAAGAGCTTCATAGCTCAGTGGGTCTTACATTGTAAAATGAAGATGAATTGATTGATGTAGCTTACCAAGGGACTGGCAGAGCACGCGAATGTGGAGCTCTCCAGAGCCTCGGAGTTCTCGGCCAAGGGATGCCTGTAACTCCGGCCTTACGAGCGGGTGACCAATAGTGACCGCCTAGGCTAAGCTGTTGGGCAAGTTTCAAAAGGAGCATTTGACTAGAGGTTTAGTGGGCTAGAGGAGTTGATGGCTAGATGAGTGGATCGCAGGAGGAGTAAATGACAGTGGCGTTTTACAGCTGGGTGCTGATCACTCACAAATACTTTGTTCAAGCTTTCGGCTGCGTAAATATCATCAGGCAGCACGGAAGACTGGGGGCATGTTCACCTTCAGTGGGGCTCATCGGTTGAGCCATGCCCAGCTGGAGATGTCAGAGAGAGAGAGAGAGCCTGGAGTGAAAGGGCAAGGAGTGTGGCGTAACCCACTGAGCGAGCGTGTGCGTTTTGTTTGTCGTCATCAGGAGGACTCGGGGCCCTGGCCGGGCTGCTGGGATCTGGTCACTCGTCGGGGTGAGTTCCTTCCCTCGCACCTTCCCTCCCCCCTTCATCTCCACAGCAAGTGCAGGAACTCCCCCGTTTAATGCGTGTTCGCACGTAACATTTTTTGCAACGCTGTCCTCGTGGGGACGTACTGATATTCTGAGAGGCGTGGGTGTTGGCAGCGTTGTTCGGTGATGCTGGAAGCTGGCACTGTAGTACTGGTACTGTAGTGCTGATGCGCGCTGTGATACATTGCATGCCTGCCTCTTCCTCAGTTACCACACCAGTTCGGGATCGAACCCAGGACCTCCTGCATACCAGGCGAGATAGTTAATATCTCGGCGCCATTGCGTGATCGCGCTTGTCCGCTTCGCAGCTCACGGGGCCAGGTGGGTTCCCTGGCACGCTCAGTCTCCTCGGCCCGCGCTGCCGCCGCCTCAGCCTCCTCCGCCTCAGCCTCCTCCTCCTCCGCCGCCACCACCACCACCACCACGACCACTGCCGTGCTGGCCGCCGAGACCCCCCCGTCGGTCACGCCGGTCCCACCAGTTACGCCGGTCCCCACCGCCGCCACCGCCACACCGGTCCCCGCCACCGCCCCCACAATGCTGCCCGCCGTGCCAACCGCGGTGCCCACACAACCCATCCAGCTGTCGGACCTGCAGAGCATCCTCACCAGCATGAACGTGCCCACGTCACCGGGGGCCACGGCCACGCAGCCCGGTGAGTGTGGCTCGTAACGGCCGTGTCCGGGTCACTCAGCCGGCACGTCCTGAGGACCTGGGCATCGAGCCCCCGAGTAGAGCCGGGTGTCTTGAGGCAGGCTTACAATTACCTCATCAGAACCTCAGCCCTCAGCAACTCTTTGAGGGGACCTGGGTTTGAGCCCTGTTTTCGTGGTCGCTGCGGTGTCCAATGGTGATGAAATGTTTCGGAGCGCTTGACCGGCGCTGCTGTGCATCTGGGGTTTTTTTTCGACCTGAGAGTAGTGGCCACGGTGAACACGCGAGCTTTACGGCACAGGTTTCCCTCCAGGTTTTCTAGTTTCCACTACATAGCTAACAACAACAATAAAACACATACAATGTAACTGGCATTGTCCAAAACATTCCAATGCAGGACTCTTTGAATAAGGGCCTTAGTACCGGGAATGGCCTTCCTGGGTAGGTAAGTGATTATCACTGTTGAAACTAAATGATGAAACTATTTTTATTTAACCAGGTAAGGCCCACTCAGCTGTATAGCTGTTTTTCTCAGAAGCGACCTGGATTCACATGATAACTCAACAAAGTTGGCTTATCACGTGGAAATGCATAGCAGCCAAAATACTCTAGATGCATGTTTCTAAATGTGGAGGGAAAAACCAGACGACTCAGGACCAAAATCCAAGTATGCAACAGGCATCGTCATGGCTGGAATCGAACCCACGACCTCCTGTATACCATGCGAGGTAGTTAACATCTCACCAGTCGCCCTCAAAGAACGCTCCTCCGCCACTGACGTGTATTGCGTCTCTCGTTACCAAGTCACAAGGGGAATGGTTCGCTCTCCGAGTTGACGTTGAGCCGCCGTTTCCGCGCAGCGATCGCGCGGCCTGGCCAACGAGCGACGCTGCGCACATCAGCGGCGGTTGGAGCGGCGCTCTTGAGGGTAACTGCTCGGTTGTTGCTCTGCGGGCGGTTAAAATCCGACGCTGTTTAGCGTAACCTGTAACCTCTTCAACTGAGAAAACCAAGAGACGGCTCTCGGGCCCGGTTCTTAGCTCGACTGGACCTGCAATCCAGAGGTCGCATGTTCAATTCTGGGGGGGGGGCTAACCGGTGTTCTCGCTCGTGACTGTCATTCCACTGGATTCGTTCCCCGGTTCCTGACTTTTGGACCCCCCCCCAATTCCCCCCTGGGGCTTCAGCCCTGGACCTGGCTGCGGTGCTCACGCCCGACATCATGGCACCCATCCTGGCCAACCCCGAGGTGCAACAGCGGCTGCTGCCGTTCCTGCCGGTGGGCGAGGCCCTGCCCCTGTCGCCCGACGAGATCCAGAGCACGATGAGCTCCCCGCAGTTTCAGCAGGTGAGGGGCAGCCGCAGTACCCAGCCGCCCGAAACCACCCCTCCACCCGCCCTACCCTGCCGTGTGTGAGGAGTGCGTGTGTAAGCTTGTGTGCCCATTTGCATGAGCGTAACCGTGGCTCCCGTGCCCAGTTGAGTAAGTGTATCCGTGGCTCTCATGTCCCCTCTATGCCCAGCTGTGTAAGTGTAACCGTGGCTCCCTCGCCGCTCTTTGTGCCCAGCAGGCCATGAGCATGTTCACTGCCGCGCTGGGGTCGGGGCAGCTGGGCCCGCTCATGTCCCAGTTCGGGCTCCCGGATGAGGCCGTCCAAGCGGCCGGCCATGGAGGTGATTACACTGCTCATCACCAGCATCACCATCATTATCTCCAGCACCAGTACCACCATTATCGCCACCACCAGCAAAATACCATCTCTAGCACCAGCACCACCATCATCTCTTGTGCCATCACCAGTACCACCATCATCATCTCCAGCACCACCAGCATCATCACCACCAACACCACCACCACCAACACCAGTACCACCACCATCATCAGCAGCACTGCCGTGTTGTGTGAAGTATTTGTGTTGTGCAGTATGAGTGTATCGGTGTAGGAGTGTTTACGTTTTGTATAGGAGTAGTGTGTGTAGTGCGGAGTTTGTGTATCACTGCAACGTTATACGCTTACACAGGAGGTACGAAGGCGCTACGAGACACGACGCTCGCTCGCGTAATGGCATTTGCTTTTCGGGTGCCCCCGAGAAGGAGAGGCGCTCCGAGTTGGGCGGTGCCACCACCGTGATGGGTGGCATTGGAGCGCCGCCTTCTTCCATTACTTCTGCGGGCTGCGCGTTCGTGAGTGCTGTTTGTATTTATCCTCCTGCCCTCCCGTGTTCCACCTCTCAACCTCCAACCCTGCCCCTCCCCCCCCCAACACCCTCGCCCACCTTCCGTCCCCCGTAGACGTTGAAGGATTTGCCCGCGCCATGCAGGGCCGGCCCGGCGGCGCCGACACCGGCACCACGGAGGGAGCGCCGAGCGGCGACGTGGAGCCGTCCGGAGACAAGAAGGACGAGGAGGAGGACATGAGTTTAGATTAACGGGGCCGCAGCGGGCCCGGTGTGTGGCCCCGGGCCGCATCCGAGTGACGCTCCGTGCCGGGTCTCTCTCTGCCGCCATTCCCGTGCTCCCGTGTTGTCACTCGGCTGCCGCCCGTTCTGATTCGAAACGAACGCTCTCCCATTTTTATTGGGTCGATTCTCCACACCTCTGTTTTTGTTGTTGTTGTTGTTGCCGCTGCGTCTTCGCCGCATGTCCGGGTAAAGTGGGGCAGCACGGGGCGGCCGTGAGTGTGACCTTGACCGATCGACCTTAATGATAACAACGTTCCGCCTTGGCTCCAGAACCTGATGCCCTGTCTGGCTTGAGTCTTCACAGAGGACCACAAGGATCGCACTGGCTCTGTGGCGATGCGGTGATGCCATCGCTCACGATTGTTCCGTACCCCCCCCCTCTCACGGTCTTTTCCTCTACAACCATTTTTTTTTTACAAGTTGGGAAAACAATAAAGGTAGACGTGAGTGCAAGCTCCTTGGTAAACATTGGCGGCCGTGCGATGAACATACTCTTGGCGTCATCCATCAGGGGCAGCCTCCCAGCAAAGTTGGCCTGGTTCAAGCCCAGCACTGGGATGGCATATCGATTTGGCATTGACGCAACCCAAGTGAAAGAGCTTTGTGATTACTCGTCTGTAATTTTTTTGCAACGGAGACCCACCAAACGGTAGTCGAGGTCGCAGCAATTGTTGGATGCGTGTGTCCAGTTGCAGGTGTTTATCTCAGCTTGGGAGCGGGGGCCACCTGTGATTCCGGCGCACCACAGCCGGCTTGCATAGCGAGCAAGAACGGTGCCGTTGTGAACGCTTGCTTCACGTTGCATGGCTGCTCACTGTTCCGGCTGCACCACTCCATACTCACCGTACCATGCACCGTACTCGCCGCACACCCCACCTTACACCACTCACCGTGCCGTGCACCACACTGGCCACATACCTCACCATGCACACCACACACACACCGCACCGTACGCCACTCCATGCACAACACTCGCCACACTGAACTGTGCCCCAATCCACACACCTCGCAGTGCACCACACTGCACACCACACCGTGCACTACGCTCGCTGCACACAACCCACCATGCACCATCGTAACAGGACATGTGTGCTGGTTGTCGGGACATCTTGACAACGATTTCCCGGCTATGGACATGGAGACACAAAATCTTTGCCCTCTTTCGTGCTTAACGACTGTTACCGTGTTCACCCTGCAGCGGGGCATGGTGCCAAAATCTGGACTGTGACCTGGCAATAGAACGCTTGCATAAAAGATAAAAAGGACGTGAGTTATTTTGTCATTGCAATCAGATAAACGTTTGATACCAAATTGCTCCAACGCTTAAACAAACAAAATATACACAATGTAACTGGTGTTTGCCGAACATCTCGATGCGGGGAAAATTACCTGCAGATCACTCGATTGGGATCGAACGCAGCAGTAGCATTATCATCATAGTCCCTCCTGTTAAAATCACAACCACGCACACAGGACCCTCCCGAAAAAGCTTGCATTTCAAAGCACATCTTGGAGCTGTGTGGGTGGCTCATGGGGGAAGCGATGCCCATGCTTCAATCAACCGAGCCCACAATTCTGAACAACTGGGTTCGTATCGAGGATTCGGCTTCCTCCCTTGATAAAACCAGGTTCTCAAGTACAGCCCCCCCGTGGCTGCACCGAAACCAAATCGCAGAAATGGTTTGGTTGATTTTGCGCCCCTTAAACGCAAAAAGCGACTCGCGTCACACCTCGGCGCATTCGAAAGGGGCACTCCCCAGCAGCAGCTGCCCCTGTGTGCATTCGGGCATTACCCTGCCAGCAGGGAGCTATGTGTTTGTAATCCCAATTGAGTAATCGGTAATAATACTAAACGTCTTTTCATTTGGACCGATTCCACGCCTGAAGGATGTACAGGCGGCATGCTCGCTTCCACCCTCCCTGAAGGCGTGCTGTTTGGCGGTCGTGTTGAGAAACCCTTATTGGAGAGGAGACGTATATCGACGTGGTTCTGTGCGACTTCATCGCTTGACCGGACGACGCGAGACCTTGCAGTCGGAGTCTCAAAGGGGGTGGGGGGTACGAATCGTAGGAACGCAGTGACACTGAAGAAAACAACCAAGCGCTGGCTTGGCCTTATCGAGACCCCTGGCACAAGGGTAATTGAGCGATGACGATTTGTCATACGGAACCACAAACGCACAAGTTGGGGGGGTTGGGGAGGGGGGATGTCACCATCCCATCAAGAAACTAACAACACTGGAGACCGACCAGATTAAAATGTCATTGGGACTCATTGGTGCAGTACAACGTTCGCTGCTGCCATGTGTGTGTCCAGTATGCGGAGAGGACATTGGGAGGGGCCACATTTTCTCAACGCTTTGGGTTGGTTGGCCGAAACGGCAAAATGGCCACGTTCAGTTCTTTTGAGCTGGTGGTCTGGATAAGGCTGAGACGTTTTAATACAACGATGCTGCACACGCGCATGTGTGTTCAATTTGTGTTTTTTTTCTCGAGCCCGCATTAATTTGTCTTGTGATGACTTCTCATCATTTACAGGTTTCAACGATAAAAAATATATATACTTGTACTGAAGAAGCGCCTTGCTGCTGACAGTCCCAACTCCACGGAGACTACGATCGGGCACGGGCGCCGTTTTGGGAACCATAGCAAAATCCCACCACCGGCTGTGTTTCTGTCTTTCGACATTTGCGTCTCAATTACTCTTATTAAAGATTTCGGTAGACTTGTGCTTAACGTTTCACATTCAAGTGTTCTTCCCTCGCATTTTTTTTGAGTTATAATTCTGAATAAAAGTAACACAATGTCATTGCGTGTTTTCTATCCTCTACTTAAGGCAATTTGATTGGCCCCAGGGGTCGGCAACCTGCGGCTCTGGAGAATGGCTCTTGTTATTTTGGTTTTCTGACCTTTGACCATGAAAGTCCAGTTCACCATGGAAATACAGTTCAACATGGAAGTCCAGTTTACCATAGAAGTCCAGTTTATCATAGTCCAGTTCACCATGGAAATCCAGTTCACCATGGAAATCCAGTTTACCATAGAAGTCCAGTTCACCATGGGAGAACAGTTTACCATAGAAGTCCAGTTTATTATCTGCAGGGGTTCGGCAATCTGTGGCTCCTTAAGGACCGGAGTCTTGTATTCACATGCATAGTGCGGCTCATGAAATATTTACGGTTTTTTGACCGAATTTAATCTGAGGTTTATATCCCACCCCCCAAGTAAAGCCCATTGAGCTAAGTATATATATTTGAAGGGGACCACTCGCCCAGTACACAACATCAAAGCATTCCACCTCCGATGAGCACGGTTGGCCGAGTACGATGCGAAAAAAGTTCAACATACTGGTCAAAACATCCCAATGCTGGAAAAAAATCACCTTTCTAATTATTAATTTGAGGTTACAACGGTATCCGCAGCATTGCCCCAGCACCCCGTAACTGCGAACACATGGCAAGACCCTCCTAAAAACGAGTCACGAGACTGAGTGAGGCTTTTCATGCGTTAAACAAGCTTGGGCATAATTCAGAAAATAAGTGTTGACGATAGGCAGGGATTAACTGCTGGGATGTGATGATCCATGGCCACCTCTTTCAGAGCAGAGAGGACGGGGTGATTGAACAGGAATTGAATGTTGCGTTTATTTTCTACATACCTGTCAACCTATACGGTTTACCCCGTAGTCTTGTACAGGGAAATTTGAGTTTTCATGTTATAACGGCGTACAGCCGTTTCAATACGGGCAAGAAAAAATGTCTATTTGTGTTGTTTCTCCCTCGTGTTGGGACTTTGTAGGATGAACGAGATTTAAAAGGGCACGGGGTGCCCAATACGGTCTGAATTGGTCTGTAATAAGGTAGGGCACTGATAAGGGGTTGACAGGTATGTAATCATTATAGTAGTGTAACGTATAATAGTGCAGTGTATAGTGTAGTGTATAGTGTCAACCCATACGGTTTACCCGTATTCTTGAACAGGGAAATTGAGTTTCCGGGTCTATACGGCGTACAGACGCTTCAATTAGGGCAAATAAGTAATATTTTAAAAAACTCGCTTTATTGAAATGTACCGTACTAGTAATGGCAGAACGCCACAACTCCAGGAAGTGGCCCCGAAGCTCGCCATAACGTAAAGGGCCGTGACCAATAACAGCCAACGTGAGTTGAGCGTGGACAATTAGACTCAAGCCGAAACATAACATATAAAAAAATGTTTAAAAATAATTTGTTTTTATTTTAATGATAGAATATAGTATTGTCATCAGTATGACAAGTATACCAAGTTTGCAATCGATACCACATTGGGAAGTGGGTTAAAATTGAGTTACAAGATTTGTAGGGCGAACGTTGAGATTTATAAGGGCACGGGATGATCAATAAGGTCCGTGTTGGTCTGTGAAAAGGTTGGCTGGGGTTGCGTCTTATACTCGGGTATAATACGGCAATTGACTCACGTGGTCACAGCATGTGGGGGGGGGGAGGGGCCTCAATCCACTCGCTCGACTCTCGGCTGCTCACGCCGCTCTCGGCCTCTTCCTGCCCCCCCCCACCTCACTGGGGTGTGCGGAGCGCGAGGCAAATCGACCAATCACGTCGCGCGCTCGACTCGCTCGGCATCGATTGCTTCGCTCTGGCGACGCCGCCATTTTGCTGGGCCCCGCGGTGATGGTGACGACTCGGCCGCTCCAGAGCGGGTGACGAATCCAGCACTCGCCCCACCACTCACCCCACCACTCACTCGCCCCACCACTCACCCACTCATCCACCACTGACTCGCCCCACCACTCGCCCCACCACTCACCCCACCACTCATCCACCACTCACTCGCCCCACCACTCACCCACTCATCCACCACTCACTCGCCCCACCACTCACCCCACCACTCACCCACTCATCCACCACTCACTCGCCCCACCACTCACCCCACCACTCACCCACTCACTCGCCCCACCACTCACTCCACCACTCACCCACTTATCCACCACTCACTCGCCCCACCACTCACCCCACCACTCACTCGCCCCACCACTCACCCCACCACTCGCCCACTCATCCACCACTCACTCGCCCCACCACTCACCCACTCATCCACCACTCACTCGCCCCACCACTCACCCACTTAACCACCACTCACTCGCCCCACCACTCACCCACTCATCCACCACTCACTCGCCCCACCACTCACCCACTTATCCACCACTCACTCGCCCCACCACTCACCCACTTATCCACCACTCACTCGCCCCACCACTCACCCCACCACTCATCCACCACTCACTCGCCCCACCACTCACCCACTTATCCACCACTCACTCGCCCCACTACTCACCCACTCATCCACCACTCATCCACTACTCACCTGCCACTCATCCACCACTCACTCATCCACTACTCACCACTCATCCACCACTGACTCATCCACTACTCACCCACGACTCACTCAGCCACTACTCACCCACGACTCACTCAGCCACTACTCACTCGCCCACTATCACCACTCATCCACTACTCACCACACACTCGTCCATCCCTCACCCACTACTCACCACAAACTCATCCACCACTCACCAGCCACTCGCCCACTACTCACCGCTCACGCATCCATCACTCACTCGCCCACTACTCACCAACTACTCACCCACTACTCACCACTCACTCATCCACCACTCACCACTTGCGAGCTCACCACAGATGCACCACACATGCTAAACACCACAGACACCACTCATCACATACTGTTCATCAACTCCTGACCCAGCACACCATCTCGCCAACACTTCAGCACTAACCGACTCATCTAACTCCACACCACCAACTATATCTATAAACTCACTAAACTTCATCGCCGTCTCATCTCTTAATAAATCCTCACTAGCATCGCACTCACCACCCATGCCGTCACATTGCTTATTCGTGCTTTTTGTTTTTTTGTTTGTTGTGGTTGCACCAGATTCAAGAGCCCAATGGCTCACAGGGCTATACCAAAATAAATACACTGAAAACTGAAACTGAAAAAAACCTTACGGATGTCCCTCGCACACTCATCCTCACCAACGCGATCACCACCAATTCGTCCTCACTGCAGCATCGCCACCACAATTTTCCTCACCACCCACCTGCCCATGCCTCCACCAGTCTCGCCTAGAACGCCGCAGTGGTGAGGTGTTAACTACCTCGCCTGGTGTACAGGAGGACGTGGGTTCGATCCTGACCCTGACACCTCCGAGTTTCCCTCTACATTTAAAATCAACACGCGTTCAGGGTCATGGGACCTCCTTTGCCAGTACCAAAATATGAGAATCGGTTTTCCCCTTTTATCTGGCAACAAAACAGGTGTTAAGATGTTAAAACACCAAACTGAAACCTTTTATGAGGAATCATGTCTGCGTTAACCACAATACTTGTGGTCAGAATGCAAACAAAAAACATGCTCTGGTAAATTTTGATTTAAAGCTTTCGTGACTGCAGGGATTCATATTATTGGTTGTTTCGGTAAAGTCACGTAGAAGGGAAACAATAAAAATGATCATTTATATTTGTATTTTATTGTTTCCCTTCTACGTGACTTTACCGAAAGAACCAAGAATTTACTCTGATAATATATGCATTGTCTTTGAAACTGATTGGTCCACACCGGAGACGGCACAAGGTGTCCTCTGGTCTAACACCGTTTTGAGACTAGGCTCAAAAGAAAGCTGTCCACACGATAAGCCATTTGAGCTATCATTTGTGGCCAGGTCGCTTCTGTAATAGACCTAGATAGCACTTTGGGCCTTACCTGGTAAAATAAAAAATACCGGAGCATTAAAAAGGATGCTATGGGTGTGAACCTGAACCCATCACCACCAACACCCCACCATCAAACTCGTCACCTTATATATCAAACTGCCTCGTCACCAACGTCTTCACTCATCTCACGGCTTCGCCGCAACACCTTCGCATCCACCTCACAACATCTTCGTACTCTTTCGCCACTACCACTGCCACCACCGCCTACTCTTCCTCGGCGGCACCCATCCAATTTCTATACTCTTTGGTTCTATTGGGTAAAGTCACGTAGGTAAAAAATAAAATAACCTACGTGACTTTACCCAATAGAACCAAAGAGTATGGATCCTTGCAGTCACGAAAGCTTTAAATCTGGAATCATCCAATTTCTATTTGTGTTTCTCCTTTGTAATGGGACTTTGTAGGATGAACGTTGAGATGTTATAAGGGCACGGGGTTAATTAAGGAAGGTGCTGCCCTGGAATTCGATTGATCGCGCCACTCCCGGCGGATGGTCCTCCACGAGAGGGGGAAACTCTTTAAGCGAAGGGAGGGTATTGGGCCTCACTCGTCCACGTTTTCGCTGGCGATTTGTAAATTCTGCGGATTTGCTCTCCAACACACCGGGTGTGCTGAAGTAACTAATTGGCGCGTTTTTTTGTTTTACGTGACAGAACCTGACGAATTGACTGTCTGGGTGGTGACGGGTTTAACGATACATTTATATTCATGCGATCTAACTCAAAAACAACTTTAACCATTAACTTATCCCCAATTTCTAACCCTAAAATTGTCTTCTAACGCTTTCCCCTATCCCCTAATTCTAACCCTGTCCCTATCCCCGAACTTTGTCCTCTAACCCTATCCCCTTATGCTTTTTTTCCCCTAACGCTGTCCCAATCCACTAACCCGTGTCCCCAAATATGGTCCCTATCCCTTAACACTGTCCTCTATCCCCCACTCTTTCCTCTCATCCTGCCATCAACCCCGTCTCCTAATCCACCCCTTTAGTGTTAACTTCCTCGCAAAGAGTTGGTTT